AGCTTGTTTTCGTTGCATGTTAGGGGAGTACTCTCCAAGCGAAATGAGAGAGAGTTTAACGTTGGCAGTGCCCAGCGCAGGGAGAGAAGTCAATAACATATTATTTTACAAACTACACGAAATATCTCCGCAGATTAATGGCGATTTGCCGTTGCATATAACGTAGTAGGCCATAAATATCACTAAGTTTCCCGATTTTCTCCAACGTCACCTTTCGTGAAATCACCAGTAAACGAGGCGGAGCAAAATTCTTTTAAAGATCGACGAAGTACAGTGTAAATTAAATTAGCCCGTATCATCTAGAATAACTCAATTTGTAGTAGTTATTCGTTAGCGTGATCTGGGAAATTTGTTCCATGTTTATCGTGGCTGATCGTACTAAGGATACCATCTGTACAACTAGAGATCGAAAAGACAGCATTCTACGTAATGCCTTGCTTCTTATTAACACATTAATACTCACACCAATACATCAACTTACTTGGAGCAAACGATGTAATTGTAGCACTCGCGGCACAAACAAACCGTTACGTTTCTCAGGATAATACAACAATGAGCATTCAGAGCGCTAGGAGCCTAGTTGATCTGTCTACTGGGTTGCACATAGGTCTTTAAGTATTTACAGTAATCGAAACCGGTGCCTATAAATGGACGTGATTTATGTCACCATGTCCTAAATCACACAATCCACACTCGTCGTCCGCAGCCAAAAGTGACCGGTTACTCCAAAATTATTGATCATCTATGCATTGCATGAAGCAAGGAGCACTTCAGTAATTCAATGCATAACTGCGTCGTATACACCATGTATATCAAATGAGATTACTACCAATATATTGAGCGTCTCGGATGGGAGGTAGATGATTTGACGACCACTCCTGAATTTAATTTTTAAGATTCCTTGTTTCAGATCAGCTTGAAATACATCCTCCGCCAGCTTTCCGTTTAGAAGCTAATGTAATAAAAATGCGGTGTTGATAATTTTGTATACAATGCTCCATATTATTGCATCAAGCCTGCGCAACCAATAGTCTGGAGGAGCTTTGGCTTAGAAAGTGAAGTGCTACATTAGTGTGTCACTCAGCAAAAATACATAGTGTACTAACCCTTAATGAAAGCGTTTTAAAATTGACACAGGACCCTTTCAGGCAAATTCAGGCTGCATTAGTATGGAGCAAACGAGACGTTTACATGTCACCAAACATTCAGCAGAATAAAACGCAAATGCTGAATAGTATTGGTGACGGGGTTAGAACGAAATTTGTTTCGACACGCTATGCAAATCCTTTGTCTTCACCACCATGGCAGAGGCAAATATCATTTCTGCCGATTTCCGTGCGACTTGCTGTAAGAGTTATTTAAATTGGAAAACGTGCTCGTGAAATACTGTCCCCGGTAGAGCAAGCAAACCAACCACAAACCACAGAACCAGCTTCCCTAACACTTCCGCCGGAGATATGGGCCGACAATACAAAAATATGCTCAGTGTGTTTAAATAAAATCCTTGGCCCAAAGCTAAACCGGCTCGTTAGAAGAGGTGTCCGTTCAACGCAAAGCAATCCTAATGCATCCTCTATAGATTGGTAGGTTATGCCATTACAATGATTTTCATCTAACCAGAAAATACGTACTGCTACTTGTATGAGTGGAACCTCAGAAAAATTTGCTTTTTCATTAAGCATAGCATGCATTTCCTATAGGTTTTATTCACGCAATGAAATACCTCTCTTTTCCTAGCACTTTGTTGCTACTCTTCTTCATGAGGACCTAATTAAATAAGAGTTGCGCGTTAATACACGGGGCACGGACACAACTCCGCTGCATAAATGGGCGAATTCGCAACGCCTTGTCTTGAACATGCCAACACCCGTGGGTTCAGCCCTTTTAATAATTACAAATATATCATTCACATTTTATTTGCTTGGATTAAAACAGAAAGCACAAGTTGGTTTCCCACTTAGTGATGAGTGACTATTTCACGCTGGCAAGCATATGTTACAATTTGCTTTCCACTAAATATCCAGCAAATTTGGTTTCACCATTATCAAGCAGCTGCATTAACTATTGCAGTAGAGTTTTGATTTTTGTTAGTATTGTTCATGCACATATTAGTCTGCCTCCATCTGCAAAAAATACAACATGCTTAATTTATTTGCTGAGGGAACGCTTAAAATGCGGTACACAGCTTAAAGCTGTCGCTGCTAAGGCATTCTCAGTCAGTAAGAGGAGAAAGCACAGGGAGTTTTGCTTCATCAATTTGAGCCCAGCCCGAGGAAAATATCATGCATAACGTGGAGTCAATCGAATCAACGCAATATTCGCACTGCAGTACCGTGTCACTATTGATTTATATATCACGTTAAAATTATTTTGTGCTCTACCCTTTTATACTAATTTACTGGTTATGCTTATTGGCTTTAAATTTGCAGAATAAATCGTCCGTTCCTACTACATCTTCGGTGGTGGGGAAGGCAATAGAGATTTTGCTGAACAGAATGAGATATATTTCGTGAAATATATGTGTATAGCGACAGAGATTTGCAAGGAAGCAATTGATATTATGGAATGCAAGGGCGTTGTATTTTACGGCAAAGCTGCTTTATCAGCCAGTGTGCAAAAGAAAAGCTCAAAAAGTAAATTGTAAGCAAATATATGATTCAAAATGTCATTAAATAAACGTTGTGTTGCCTTATTCTAGGCGCCCCGGGTGATTCTGGTCACATCTTTGATTACAGCGTCTGAGTTGGTGCAGCCATGCATACATGGTGCAGCCGCGTGTCGCGCCCATGCAACCTGTCCTTTCTCTTCGCGCGTTCTGACAATCCCAGCGGCAATCGGCCCATGAGTACCCGTCCGCTTCCAGCGCAATCAAGCTGATTGATATCAAACACTGAAACATATAAAGTTAACAGCTTAATAGCAAAGCCATTGGCAAGTAACATCTGGCTATGTGACAATGTGTTTGTCAACCAACCCATACTAGCTCGTTACAAGTGCAATGATGTGATGAAAGATTAGCGCCGGCTTACCGCAAAGAAAACTAAAGGACTCATGTTGTGCTGTGTTGAGATATCAAGGAAGATAGATCTTGCTTTATATTTACTTCCATTTTTGAGAATAAGTCGGTGGATGCGGGCCTTATCTTACTTAACTTATAGCTGTTGGTTGTCGGCTCAATGTGTTTAATTTTTGTATTTATTATGTTAGCCATTGGCCGGTGTGTAGTTTGATTCAAGTCTGGGAACGTGGTACACTAAAATTTGGCTGGGGTATTCTTGGTAACTTTCAATACATAGGTTCAAACTATAAGTGTTACAACTTGAGCAGTTATTGATTGATAATTCAGAGCATTTTTGCTATTAGCCTACATTTAATATTTTGTAATTGGTCAATTGTGCATTAATGCAAATCTCTAGCTTCTTTCTTCTTACTAACGCGGATTTTGATAGTTAGCCAGAAATCTAAATGAATCCAGTTCTTTTTACATCCATCCCTACTTTTGTTTCACAATTCATCATTACGTGGACGCAGAAATTTGCGAGTTTTGACAAATTCATGAAAATGTTAGAGGATATATCTTGACAGTATCCAAAAATTGACAAATTCTGACTTTTTTGCTTCACTCTTTGCGGACGTCAAACACGATGGTAAATTAGTGAGATTATATGCAGCTATAGATATCAGCGGCAAAGCGATATCATGAAGAGGGCTTGCACTTAATGTAGGTTTTAAGAAAAGATGCGTTACACAGAGCTATTTTGAGGATACTTTGTCTACGATGATAAAAATATTTATTATGTTACCTGGATCTGTTATCAATATTTACTTGCACGAAGTAGGAAAAGTTACACAAGCCAAATTTATGCTCAAATGCTATTAAGCAATCATTGACGTTATGTTCAATATTTTCACGAACGGTTTTTAAATTTTTATGGCGTGTTTAAGTGTGATTTACATGTCGTATGAAACACATGGTCCAAACGGTAGGAAAACTTTGGTTATCAGAAATGGTGTAATGTTCTTTGTTTACGTTACCCGTAAACAAGAAAATTATGATCAACTATTGCTGACCTAATTCAGTCATAACTGCAGGTTAGCTAAATATTTTGAATAGTTTGTTGCTCTTGATCACCTAGAGCTTTCTCAAGGATTACTAAAAATAGGTGCAATTTTATATACTATTTTAGCTTGAACACTACAAATATTTTAATGCGTAATACAAATGCAATGGGGATCTAATTATTGGTACCGATATCTTTTTAAACACATGAAGACGAGTCAGATTCTAAGAGGGATACGGGCTTGTGCCTGACGTAGTTATTTCCTTAGTCATTGTTAAAAAAGCGCTATGACACAAAAACACACACCCACCCCCCCCCCCCCAACCCACCCCCCCCCCCCCCCCCCCCCCCCCCCCCCCCCCCCCCCCCCCCCCCCCCCCCCCCCGCCCCCACCCCCCCCCCCCCCCCCCCCCCCCCCCCCCCCCCCCCCCCCCCCCCCCCCCCCCCCCCCCCCCCCGCCGCCCCCCCCCCCCCCCCCCCCCCCCCCCCCCCCCCCCCCCCCCCCCCCCCCCCCCCCCCCCCCCCCCCCCCCCCCCCCCCCCCCCCCCCCCCCCCCCCCCCCCCCCCCCCCCCCCCCCCCCCCCCCCCCCCCCCCCCCCCCCCCCCCCCCCCCCCCCACCCCCCCCCCCCCCCCCCCCCCCCCCCCCCCCCCCCCCCCCCCCCCCCCCCCCCCCCCCCCCCCCCCCCCCCCCCCCCCCCCCCCCCCCCCACCCCCCCCCCCCCCACCCCCCCCCCCCCCCCCCCCCCCCCCCCCCCCCCCCCCCACCCCCCCCCCCCCCCCCCCCCCCCCCCCACCCCCCCCCCCCCCCACCCCCCCCCCCCCCCCCCCCCCCCCCCCCCCCCCCCCCCCCACCCCCCCCCCCCCCCCCCCCCCCCCCCCCCCCCCCCCCCCCCCCCCACCCCCCCCCCCCCCCCCCCCCCCCCCCCCCCCCCCCCCCCCCCCCCCCCCCCCCCCCCCCCCCCCCCCCCCCCCCCCCCCCCCCCCCCCCCCCCCCCCCCCCCCCCCCCCCCCCCCCCCCCCCCCCCCCCCCCCCCCCCCCACCCCCCCCCCCCCCCCCCCCCCCCCCCCCCCCCCCCCCCCCCCCCACCCCCCCCCCCCCCCCCCCCCCCCCCCCCCCCCCCCCCCCCCCCCCCCCCCCCCCCCCCCCCCCCCCCCCCCCCCCCACCCCCCCCCCCCCCCCCCCCCCCCCCCCCCCCCCCCCCCCCCCCCCCCCCCAAATAAAAACCAGCCCCAATCACAACAACCCCCCGCAACCCAACCACCGACACCCCCCAAAACAAAAAAACCAAAAAAACCCCCAAAAAAAAAACACAAAAACGAAACAAAAAAACCCACACACAACCATCCCAACCATACGACCCAACAACCAAACAAAAAGAAACACACAAAACGACCACACAACAGCCACGCCCCGACACCTCAACCCCAATCCAGCCGACCAGACACCCCCGCCCCCCCACCCCCATCCCCCTGCGAACACACTCGCCGACCCTTTATTGGTCGGCGTAAACTCACTTGCTTCATCCATCCAATCTAACACACTCTTGGTCTCCGAGAAGCTCTCATGCATGTACACAAATGCCCAAGGTCTACTCAGCAAATTAGCTGAATTAAGACCGACACGCGTCAGCAGCTTGGGACCTCATCGCTGTCACCGAAACGTGGTTGCGCTGTGAGATAACGGATGCTGAAATCGCGCTAACGGGCATGTCCATTGTCCGGAAGGATCGAACCAGCAAAGGTGTTGGGGTAGCCCTCTACTTTCGTAACAACATGCAATGCGAATTCATAAAAGCTTCAGCAACTGACGTACCTGACGCCATTTGGTGTAATTTCCGGCTGAGTTGGGACGGTCTTGGCCTACTGGTTGTTGTTTACCGCCGGCCATTCTCTACTCCTGAGATGAAACGCAACTTGATGGCTGCGTTGAGGCAACTGATAAACAGTACAGTCACATTCTAGTCACCGGCGACTTCAATTTACATGCTCTAGAATCACAGGCCACACCAAGAGAGCAATTCATAGCAGACATGCGATACCTGTTTTCAGACTTCCCGCTTTATGGCCACGTCACTGCGCCCACCAGATTCAGGGGAACTAACCGGCCATCCATATTGGACCGAATAATCACCAATGAAGAAATGACGATCGAGAGAGTGATAACCGATATTCCTATGGGCCGCAGTGATCATGCGACACTAGTGTTTCATTACATGTGCTACGCGGATTATCCTAAAGAGCATGCCGAGGAATATCATGTCGTAACCGACTATGACGACCTGTCCGAACTCATTGGTGCAATAAGCTGGTCGTTCTTAGCTGAATTAGCCCCTGAGGTGGCCTACGGAGACTTCGTCAACATACTTACCAACCTCGTGGCAGGACATCTGAAACCAAACTCTGCCGGCCTAAAAGGATAAAGTCTTTCGTAAGGAGTCAGACACGTAAATGCATGGCATTAAGGGACTTGGCATGGCACACCTACATAGCCTTCCCGAACAACCATACCTGGGATGTCTACACAATACAAAGAAACCATTGTGTCAAACTCGTCCGGGAGGATAAACTGAAAAACCAACAAGGTCTAGTGGAAAAAGTTCTGCTCCAATTCCAAAATGCTATACAGACACGTAAGCAACTTGCACCGTGTTAAGCGCGGTATTCCTGCTCTGAACACAGCAT